GGGATGTATAAATTTCACTGAAATCCAACAGGAAAAAAATTGAATGCTCAGCATATGGATCAACAGAACACAACTGAGATTCAAAGGGGAAAAAATGTAAAAAAAAGCTGCATCTGTCAAGGCTGGCTGGTTCTCATAAAGCTGGAGCTGTCTACTAATGGATGTGAAAAGCTGCGTGCTGGGTAGAAGCTACGACCTGCAGCTCCTCCCTGCTCTCTGATGGCTGACACAAAGAGAAGGAATGGAAGGCTACAGAACGGCGTGTTTGCAAGGCCAGGAGATTATGGGTGGAAAATTCCAGATTGTCCAATGGGAGCTGAGAGCACGTTTCTATCGCAAAGGCTCAAATCCTTACATGAACCAATTAACACCTCGAATCCCAGTATGCTGGAGTGGTAACTTACCGCGTCACACATGAGCCATTCGCTTATGGAGCGGGGGGAAGCGAGATCCCTGAGGCTGCAAAACTGGTAGTCATCTCTTAACCAGAAGTCATGAAAACAGCAATTAGATTTCGCCACATCCAAGAGATTCATGATTCTATTGCTTCTCTAATACATAATTATGGCTACGTAAGAGTAACATTTAGCAATTCAAATGCTGATTTAATTAATAATTCCTCAACAGACCTATTGTAGATTTAAACACATTAGGGCACAGGACAGGTAAATGGCTGATTTCAGTGCCAGGCATAAGTACAAAGTAACAATTTTAACAACCTAGGAGCAAGAAACATTTGCACCAAAAGGCCCTCGGGTAGCTGAACTAGACAACACCTGGGAAAGAAAACAACACATTGTTCTATTGCTACAATTGAAGCCAAAGTGATCACTAAGCATATCAAAGGTCTTGATTTGTGCCTGTAAGGACGTGTAATTTTCAAGAAGCCCTAGGAAAAAAAATTGCCCCCCAGAACCTGGAGACTTTAGGGCTTCAAAAATAACAACAGGCCTAGAATCTCAAGTTTTAAATATTTAGTTGAAGGACAGGCTGTAGGGCAGGTTACTGCTGTTTGTAGCTACCTGAAAAAGAAACAGCGTTCAGATGTGTTTGTACCACACAGCAACACGTTACACACAAATAAGTTAAATTACAGTGTTTGCCATTACCACATCAGACGCCAGCTAGCCTTGTAACCTCTTCTCTCAGAACACAGGTTGGGAAAACTACAGAGTTCCACAGAGTAGAAAGAGGTGAACAGTCAAACTTGGAAACTGCTATCATTTTCCTGATGAAGAAATTGTTACTTCTAACCTGGGACTCGAGGAATCTTCCTACCAGACACACTGGCCAGTCTGTCTGTACTGCCTTGCACTATCAGCACATGGAGCAATCTTAATCCAAATTTGCCTCTGTGAGCGTCAGGCCGCCACTCAAGCTATATTGGCTTCAGTTTGAGTAACCATTTAAAAACATTCTTTGTTCTAATTTAGTCAGATAACTGATATGAGCTTTGTTTTTAAAACGTGGAAAGCAATATATGAATTGTGGCTGCGCAGGGGTAGAAGATGAGCACAAAAGGAGTTTGCCACCCTGCCCAGCTCAGCTACACAGACGCCGGCAGCGCTCCTGGAGCCCACTGGTGCCCAACCTCCTGGCACAGAAAGGCTGCGGGTAACGTTTGTCTCTGTTCCACATCAACAACTGATGACAGGATTCGGAGAGCGCCTTTAATGAGCAGCTGTGCAGGGAGGGCTGATTTTGCATTCTGACTTAGTCTTGGCTGACAAAGAATGCCTCTGCTCTACCTCAGTTTGCTGCAGCTCCTCGCTCCGCAACGGAGTGAGAGCATCCTATGCCTTAGTGCAGGCAGAAACAGGACCATTGACAGAGGCAGTTTAACTGAATTATTTTTTGCAGACCCAAAAATAAAACCAATCTGTTATTATGAACCTTTATTAAGTGGCTCACGTTTCAGTATAAATCACACTAAAAAGATTTTTAAAAAAGATATTTACACTACAGTGCTGACACATTTAAAATGAAAAAATTGGTATAAATAAGCTCTATGGAAAAGCCTGGAATTGTCAAAAAGAATTCTGGCTCATCTTACAAAAAATATATATGTTAAATGTCAGCTCTACTCTAAAACCTACAACTCAAAATTATTTAAAGACTTCTTTATGTTAAACCTGCAGTGTTTACAGTGCATCTGGCCCTAAGTGCTTTGATACTTCACAGTTATGGACAGGCACTGAGGAATGTTACAAAGCTACATAACTATCTTCTGTAACAGATGCGAAGGCAAGTCACAAACTTGCCTCACAGAACTTATGAATCTTTACATTATTACATCATTAAGTTTAAAAAGGAATTTAAAACAATATATACAAATTTAGCACAAAAAATCATCCTCTCTTTGTCCATGCAGTTTTGGATATGAACTATGTTGTCTCGTATCATCCGGATGTACGTGACTGCCGGGGCACAACTTGCCTTGTAAGTCCTTGCTGCCAGGCTCAAATTTGGAACCCGTTTCCAACTTAAACGCCGTCAATTCAACCTGATCCAATCTAGTCTGAACATTCTGGCCCCTGCTGTCATGGGGCGCCACAGTCTTTTCAGCAAGATCAACATTCATGGGTTCTTCTTTAATTCGGTGAGATGCAATAGGTTCATGTTTTATCGGCACAAATTCCTGCTGCAGAACGTCTGAAAGTTTGGCGTCTTCGGAGGTATTTCTGCTTATTGTACAAATCCTGCTGTCAGTCTGAAGTCCCATAACCGAAGACTTGGGGTCTGCAGAGGTCCCTGCTTCGAGAGTGCTTGCGTTTTGAGAAGCTTCTTCTTCGGAATGATACAGCTTGAGCCGGATGTGCCACGCCAAGCTGCACACCGCTGAAACTGTTTTGAACTGGTGCACAACATTCCTCGGGATAAAATAGATGTCATTATCAAACAACTGAATTCTGGCATATCGAATGCCTTCCCTTCGCAGCTGATTCAGTTTTGCATCGTCAACCCACTGGACACACTGGAAGGAAAAAAGGAAAAAAAATTAAGGGTGAAAACTTCGAGCACTTGCAGAGGACAATTAATGAATGGTTCACAGTGTGCTTACCTGTGAGAGTGGAGGCTCATGCAAGTCCAACTGCATGCGCTGAACTACCTCTAAGAAATCCTCAGCATGAAAACAAATTACATCTTTGGTTATACGAGGCTGCTCAGACCTACAGGAAGGCAAGAATTGCACGGTCAGAGGCTGAAACTAATATGGTAAAGAGAATAATAAAGGAAATCTGCAAACAAAGGATAAAGGAAATCATCTAAACACAAACTCAGCAATTCTAACACAGACCACATTTCAGAGAATACAAGCTGACTAAACTGGCTTGTTCTCAATCATGAGTTCAATTCATGATGCTGATTAAATGAATTATCTTAGTTTTTCATTTTTTAAACAAGTGCTAACATAAGAAGCAATGAAAAAAATCAAAGCTCCATACTTTTACTGACCTCCATCTGCCTCACAAAGACAGGTGGCCCAGAGATGTCAGGGTTACTCTGCCAACACTTTCTAGTGCGTTACACCCATCAGGTACCTCAAAGCACACCGTAACACTAGTGAGACTGCTGCAAGCACTGCTCGGTACCTGAGCCTCACAGACCCTGTTCAGACTCGAGAATAAAGCTGGTTCTAATTCATCTGCCACAACACCAGTGAGCAGCAAGCACCAGCATCCTTCACAGCATCCCCTGAAAAATACACTGGTGCTTGTACTAACTAGACAGCTACAGAGGAGCAAGATCTGAATTATAGCTTCCCTGAGTATTCAAACTGTTACAGGAAATCACCTCTTGTCCCACAGCACTTCTCTGAAAGAAGCACCATTTATATAATAATGTCTCCAAAGGAATTATCTAGAATTAAGTAACAAATGCCACGACAGCTACAATCCTTACCACTTCCCAATCTAAAAATAAAATTCAGTTCTTCTACATAAAGCTAAGATTTGCATGTGGTTTTGAGGGATTTTTTTCCCCCTCCTCCCCCCAAAAAAGAAACATCTGTTGATGAGATGCCCTTTGCATCTGGCTGCCATGCAGGGTCAGCACAGCGGCCGCATGTCCCTGGGGAGCTGGGTGCCCTCCTCCTCCCAGCTGGGCCACAAGTGGGATCTGCTCCCAAAAGCAGAACAGATCCATGCATTTCTGAGCACACCACATAGATTGCTGACCATGTTTTCAAAGCACAAGAAGATAATCATTCGTGGTTTTTGCATACATATGGTATTGGTTTTGTCCTAAGAAGCAGGCAGTGATGCAAAGTTTATTGGGCTTCTCAAACTGAAGAGATGCATTCATTTGATTCAGGTCATAACCTCAACAAAGGAAAAAAAAAAAAAAAAAAAAAAAAAAAAACAGTTTAAGCTGTTTACAGAGAGAAAAAAAAAAGCCTGTTTTAACTACAGGGAAATTTTTACGTCACATATTGTACTCCCAACTTTATGAAGATAGAAACATCTCCCTCAATTTGTTTCTATATCCTCCATTTCTATATCCTCCTGAAGAGGTTTTCAGCACTGAAAGCAAAAAGCTTAGAAGAACCAGCTCTAATCAACAGCATGAAAATACCTGCTGTGTGAATCTACTTTTTATGTCAGATATACAGTTAGATTTTTATCTTTTAAAGACATTTAGTACAGTTTACATCAGGGAAGACATGTATCTGCATTTGGAGCTAATGTCATTTGTAAAGTAAGTAACTCTTAACTCAGACATACATACAGAGAATAATCAGAGAATATACAGAGAATAAAAGGGATTTCAGCCCAAAGCCAAGTTCTCACAGCAGTGTTCACTCAGTGCTTTAAGCATTATGTCAGGACACAGGACAGTAAGTGGTTTTTTTCGTCATGACTTTTCTCCCTACCTCTACACACAAGCAACAAAATGATTACCAACTCTGTACTGCAATCATACCACAGAACATGGCATTCTTCCTGTAAACACAGAAAATTGCCAGGGAATTTTTAATTCTGCATTTTCAAACATGATTATTAGCAAAACAACTCGGATATTCTATTTTGTACAATCTGAAGCAAGTGAAATGCTCAGGAAACAGTTCACTTAGATGTCCAAAGAGATTTTCAATCCAAACTATGAGATGCCCTGGCCACTGTGTCAGCTACCACACTACTACTTCTATCGTTAGACCAGGAGCACAAAGGATTGCAAGGCTTCCTGCTTAAATCCTTTAAAAATACCAAGTAGGCCAGACATGTAATTACCACTTCTATCACTTGGGCAGTAACAACAGTTTTACAGTCCTAATGATTTGCAGGAGGAAACGATGTTGCTGCCCCACAGAGAAAGAAAAAATTTCAATCTCCTAACAGCACAATCCCTTCATAAAGCTGATAAGGATACATTAAGTTTATTTTGTTTCTCCAAGTTGCTGGCAAGCACAGTCACAAACAAAATTCTTCAAGGTAAGATAAGCTGTCCATATAAACATTCAGCTGTAGGTATAGAGGAGTCCCTTCAATACTAACACAGATACATTTTGCCCAAGAAGTACCAACAAGCCGGCACACCACCCCTACTAGTTCGCTGCACATAAAGCATGATTCTTCTTCAGTACCCTCTGACCACAAAACCCAAGATTAGCATCACAACCACAGCCAGCACTTCCCAAACAATTCAGCAGCTGAGGAAAGCAATTTCTTATCTTTTAAGTGCTTCTCTAGGCATGCTGCCCTACAAGCACCAAGCAGGTATCTTTCCGTGCTCTATTCACTCTTACACTGAATACAAACTAACCACTCAGTTCAGCAAGTCTAAGAATTTCTTTATTTTCCCCTCACGAGAAAGAAAATATTTTAATATATGGTATCTTCTTGTTACAACGTGTGCTTTTATTTCCACTGTGCCCTCCTCACTCCTGGCATAGCTCCAAGTTTTACTTTTGCTGTCAAATACAGTTTTCAAGATTTCCACACATATTGCTTTGTTTAGTATAAAACCCCTCACAGTTTAAGAGCCATGGTAAAGATAATAGCTGAAATTACTTAAATGTGTTGCAGTAATGTCTCATTATACGAAAGAAACTAAGCAGGGCTTATAAATACAGCATGGTACCTTCTCAAAACTGTACTGACAGGTAGAAAGGGAAAGAAGTTATCACAGAGGTCAAATGTAGCTTGAAATAAATCATTTTTATTCCATCAATTGTGTTATATTTTTCTCTCCTCTACAGAGAATCACGGAATCACCAAGGCTGGAAAAGACCCCAGAGATCATCCAGTCCAACCACCCCCCTATCACCAACATTTCCCACCAACCCATGGCCCTCAGTGCCACATCTCAACGTTTCTCCAACACCTCCGGGGACGGTGACTCCACCACCTCCCTGGGCAGTCTGTGCCCCTGCCTCACCATTCTGTCAGAGAAGAGGAATTTCCCAATATCCAATTTGAATCTTCCCTGGTACAACTTGAGGCCATTCCCTCTCATCCTATCGATAGTTATGTGGGAGAAGCAGCCGAGCTCCACCCCACCACAATCTCCTTTCAGGCAGTTGTAGAGAGTAATAAGGACACCCCTGAGCCTCCTCCATAATGAACCAGTTCCCTCAGTCGCTCCTGACAAGCCAGTGCTGCAGACCCCTCACAACTTCATTGCCCTCCACCTCCAGGGCCTCAATATCATTCTTGCAGTAAGAGGCAATTTATTACATATAGCAATTCCAATTTTTTTCCCCGCATTTAAAGATACATTTTCAGTCTCTACGCTGAAGCGAAATGCTCATTCTTTCTTCCTCTCCCTTAGGCTGAAGTCTGTTTGGTAGATCTGGCTATCTCCAGATCACTTCTCAATTTACACATAAATAAGTTTAAAAGGAATTTTAATGGAGGTTGGACAGATTCTCTTTTCCACAAGCTCCAACCTAGAAGAGAAGATGTGGTTTCATTCTGAAAAGCATAAAAGGTGGGAAAACTTACTTGTAGAATATAAATGAAAACGTAATGATATCCAGGAGGGAATGATCTTATTATAGAGGGACAGGGTGAGGATAGGAAGTTCCTGGCTAAGTTTAAATCAAATTAAACTCTTCCCAGTTTCTAGGGACGAGTTTGTTTTCTCACATTTTCCTTGATAAAGCTTTGACAATGCTCTCTCCCCCCTTCCCTCAATCACACCTCCCTCAGATTTACGCAGTAGCTCAACTCTCGCTCTACTACCACTCCTCAATCTTAATTCACTCCAGCTTCACACAACCAAAACAAGCTGGGATTTTGAAGCTCCAGCTGTCATGAGCCTGATGAGAAGTAAATCATAAAATCTCAGAGCCAGAAATAAGAACACGTTCACTTCTAAGCAATCTAGTTCTCTCCCAGTGGCAATTATTTCCTATCTCAATTAACTCTTGCACTGTAACATAAATTTGCATTATCTCATCCAAAGGGAATTCTGGGCAGGAAGATGGAAAGAGCAAAAGGTGGTTCTATTTAAGTATACAAAAGGTAACCTCCAAAACTAAGGTCATTCCCCCAAACCAAGGTCAGAAGTTCCTGAAACAAAGATTCTTTGTTCTGGGCGACAGAGCCCATGTGCTTTAGGGGTTTCTTTATTCAGTCAAAATGTAAATAGCTTCTAACAAGATAAATTCATTTCCTGAATGACACGTGGGAATTTCAGACATTCAAGACCATCACACAGACTCCAAGAAGATTCTTCTTATGCAATCTACCATTAATAAGTCAGAGTTACAGCAGCCATGACTTTAAAGCAAAAACAAAAATTTTGCTCATATCCAGACAACACACAGAATTGCCAAAACGCCTTCACCTGCACCTCTGAAGCAGAAATTCAGCTCAACGTGCACACATTATTTAAACTAAAACAAAAGTGTGAAGAATTTTTTACATCCAACATCAACTTCATTACAGCAATTCAATCATAGCTACTAAACTGCTGCTGCAGGGCACCTTTCCAGTTTCGGCCACGCTGCAAGCTGTATGCAGTCTTTTAAAGGGCAGACAAGCACAGCTGGTGCAAAGAGAGATAGAAAAAAATCCAGTTATCTACAAAGTATTATTTAAATACCTCCAATGCTAGATTAGCCTATTCAGTGCTCTGTCTTTTGATAATAAATGGAAATTGAGGTAAATATCTTCCAGACGCCCAGCTGAGTAAGTCAGTCAACACATACCACTCTCCACAGTGCACAGCCTTCAACACTCCCACAGCAGCTGTAGTCTGTCGTTCAAAACCTTGTCCTATGTGATCTGCATGGGCTCGTGTCCGGTCTTCAAATAGCATTTCACGTGGTTCACTGGTTCGAGGTAGGTACTGCAAGTTTTTTATTTCATTGGTAGTTCTGTAGAACAAAAATAGTACTGGTGATACAGAAATTTCCCTTAATTGTCTAATTTCTATCCACAGCCAACAGGATAGTGAGACTATACAGTCCAATGAGAAAGACAGTAACCCTTACAGCAAACAAAATACGTAACGAGCTAAGCAAAAATCAGAATACTGATGCAAACAAAATAATTTGTCAGGTTCCTAAGTACATTAAAAGGCCTTGATGACTCAGCCTCTCTCATCTACACACCCTCACAAAGCACCCAGGAGTTTCATATTTAAGGTTAAGCCTGAGCTTCAACCTTGCCTGAGCCATGCTATAAGAGCATTCATCTTCTACCAGCTCACAGTGTGTGCAACAGTTTGATAAACACCCAACCATTCTTCAAGCAGTTTTTACCATTTGTGTTTCCACTGAACTGTCAGCAAACATGCATGCATATTTAATTCCATACTACAAAACTAAGAATGAGAAGCAGAAAGATTTCTTCAGAGTTTAATGAGCATGGAGGACACAACACAGTAGTGAACAGAGACACAAGACCTTTTCCTGTATCCAGCCTATGCCTGTGCTGCGTGCCACAAAACATTTTTGCAAGAGCTACTTGAAATGTATTGAGAATGCCAGGTTGCACATGACATCTAGAGAGCACGTGGTCTACCTTCCCATGCACAACCACAGCAGGTTACTCAGGGCTGTCACCTGTCAAGTTCTGAGCATCTCTGAAGGCAGAGACTGCACAAGCTCTGAAGAACCTCTTCTAGGGATCAACTGCCCATACAGTAAAGGGGGTTTGGTTCTGTTGCTATTGTTTTAAATGAAATTTCTTGTAACGTAGCTTGTGCCCACTCCCTCATGTCACCAGGCACTGCTGAAAAAGCGTGATTCTCCTCTTTTTCTCTCTCCTATCAAATGCTTCTACAACACTGCTGAGCCTTCCCTTCACAAGGCTAAATCCCAGCTCTTCCAGTAACCAACTTGCATATCACCAGATCTGCTCCAGTATGCCCAGGTCTGCCTTGGACTGGTGAGCCCAGACAAGGGCACAACACTCTGGATGTGTTACACCAGTAAGGGAGAAGAATGATCTCCATCAGCATGCTGACAGTACTCTTCATAATCCCGTCCAAACAGCTGCTGACCTGCTTTGTTACAGAGGCACAGTGACAGCTTACAATTTGTCATTCATGAAGACTGGCAAGTATTCATCTATCAGGCTGCTTTTCAGCCAGTCTCCAGCCTGAACTGATGCACACTTCCTCATAGGTACAAGATCCCAAACTTCTCTCTGCTGACCTCAAAAGACCTGGCCTGTCAAGTCCTCTGACTTAGCAGCACAACCCTCTCGTGCATCAATCACTCCTTCCAATTCCATACTGTCTGCAGACTTGCTGATGTCCCATCATTAATGGGAATATTGAACAGAGACTACCCTCCAACTAGACTTCGAGCTGCTGATCACAACCCTTTGAGCACAGAAATTAAGCCAATTCTTGATTCATTTCATTCTTCATCTGTCTAGCTTGTCCTTCATTAATTTGAGTGTTAGGAAGTTAGGTTAGGCAGACAGGTGTCCAATCTTCCTAAAGCCAAGATAAACAACAACTCTAGCAACACCCTCATCCATTATGCCAATCATTTAGTTGTAGATTAGAATGGATTCACAGAATAAACGGAGTTGGAAGGGACCTGTAAGAATCAAGTCTAAATTCAAACCCCGTGTCTGAGAGCATAGTTCAAATGCTTCCTGATCTCTGGCAATTTGGTACCACGACTCCAGCCCTACAGAATCCATGCCAGGGCCTGACCATCTTCATGTGAAGAACCTTTTCCTACTCCCCAGTTTGACCCTCTGACACAACACCATGCCACTCCTTAGATTCTCACTGGTATCTCCAAAGAGATCAGCACCTGCCTCTCTACTCCCTGTCATTAGGAAGACCATCAGGTTGATAAGGCACCATTTCCCATTTACCAACTGATGCCAGCTACACCCAATATCTATTATTGTCCCTCATGTTTCAAAGTCGCATTCTTCCCAGGGTCAAGGCAAGGATGACTGGCCTGTAGCTCCCCAGGTCCAGCTCCTTGCTCTTCTGAAACATTAGAGTGCTATCTGCTTTCTTCAAGAACATTGGCCGATCGCCACAACCTTTCAAAGACAATCAAGAGCAGCCTTGCAATATGACCAATTCCTGCAGCACTTCTGGGTGCATCTTGCCAGGCCCCAGGTGCTTCTGCACATCTCATCTGTTTAAAACATTCCTTAATCCAATCCACCTCCACTGAAGGCAAATAGTCCTCATTCCAGCCCTCCAATTGTCTTCTAGACCTGAAAATACTGGAGACTAAACCTACCAGTGAAGAGTAGCACAAAGGGAGCAGTGAGTAACTTGCTCTTCGTTTCTCTATGACCTCTGCCCCATTCAGCAGATTACCTAAATTTTCCCTATCCATCTCTCTTGCTGCACATACACTTTCAGAAGTCCCTCTTGTTGCCCTTCACATTCTTTACACCTTACCAAATTCATCTCCAGATAGACTCAGACTTTACCTGTATCCCCTTCACAGTACATTCCTGAGGCATGTGACCCTGCAAACATTCCTTGTCCGCTTCCTTTATGTACCTGAATCCTGAAGAAGAGTGCTCCAAAGGCACAATATAATTTTCAATTTCTGCAGCAGATATTCTCACTCTCAAGCTAGTGCTTATACCCAGTACTACAAGAAAACTTAGAAACAGGATTTAAGGCTGGACACGTCATCTTTCAGATGAGAGAGAAGCCCCTGTCCTTTGAGGTCTTTAAAAATCCAATCACACTTAAGAGGAATGTCACCACCAGTCTCCAGGCATATATCAATAGCTGTATGCCTATTTACATTTCCCTGCAGTTTTCACCTCACTATACTGTAAATTCATTGCATGAGGAATATTCAGATGGTAACCTTAAATTCTTCTTAAAACTCTTGAGAGAACCAGCAGTGCCCTTGGCCAGACAGTAAACAATAAAAATATTTGTAAAATAAACAAAAAACACATTATCACCAATCAAAACTACTTTTGTAAGGCAAAGCAACTTAAAATTGTATCTTTTGAGATGAACACTTTCAACAGTTTACATTAAAGTAACATATAAGCCAGCAAAATGTTAGAAGTAAAAAGAATTTTCAAAAGAATGAATACTAACCAAACACTTACCAAGCAAAATGCATCAACATACCTCTTCCTTTTGAAAGGTGACTTTGGCATGTCAGCCACAGGGATCATCTGCTCTCCTGGACGTACCCACATAATGGGACCATCATCGCTGTCTTTACGACTCTCTAATTTTAAACTAGAAAGTGTTCCCCATGGCAGCGTACACTAACGGGAAATACAAGGCACAATTTTGAAGTGAATTTATATATATATATATACACACACACACACACACATTTAAAGCAGTCTTTATCTGTCAGAGTGAACATGTTTATTAAGCAACTCAATTATCTAAGTGAACATCATAGCACAATCACTTGATTTTACACTACCAGAGCACCGTCCCCCTTCACCCACCCTATTCCCTTCTGTCCTTACTTTTAAGAAGGGTGATTCTTCCAACATATCAAGGAATTCAGGAAAGTAATCCCCCACTTCCTCATCAACTGCTCCAACCAGGCTGATCTGTCTCATTGGGCCAGCTCTATACGTACCATGAGAGTATGTTCTTTTTACCTATAAGTAGAATATGACAGTTAAAGTTACACTGAGGTCACTATCACTCCAAGTCTGCATTCAATGAACACTTTTAATCTGTGTTTACATTTTCTGATTGATAGCAAGTCCTACATAAACCCTCATTATACCTAAGATTATTAAGAATTCAATTACTACAAAGTCAGCAAAGATCGAAGATCCCATTAAAGATGTATAACAATTGTACTTCCTATAATTCAAGTCTGAATGCAAGATTGAGTGAATGTTGTCTTTCAAGAAAACTATATTCTGAAAGCAGTAACTGTGAAAGACTATTCAAGTACAACCTAACCAGTTAAGTAATAACTAAATGTTCTTACCTTGATTACCTGATCTGCATACTTAACTCAAGTCTAATCAAATTTTTACTTTTTCTGTAAGTTATGCAGCATCCTGAGTTACAGATCATCACATTCTGTGTAGTTCCTCAGCTAACCATCCTCTCCCACACAGCCACTCTGTGAGTCCATTAACTGGACTAACTCCACAGTGAAGTGAAGGCCCACAAAGGGCTGGTACAGGAAAAGAGAGAATGACAACCACTCCTTTATTTTTCGTACGCTAAGACTTCTTCCACTCTCCTCCCACTCTAAAGGCCACAGCATTCACCCCTTGCAAAAAAAAAAAACAAAAAACCAACAACTTTTTAAAACTCAAACAGAAACACAGCATGAAGGTTGTTAGGTTGTTCTGTTTTTATGTAATCTTATCTGTCTTGTTACATGAATAAAACACTTAAGCACAAGACTGATCAGGATCACTTCCCCTTCTGGTTTCCTATTTAGCAGGCTAAACAACACAGCAGTATTATCAGATGAAATATGACCAAGATCAAAACAGAGGGAAGAGCAGATGGATTACTGCAAACAAGTACAGCATTTCTTTTACACTGCGTCTCTACGCATTCTGCATCCAAAGCAACGAAGCAAAAAAAGTGCAGCAAAAACAATGAAGCACAGTTTAATTATAGTCCTCACCCAAAACAATTAAAATTCCCATTAATTACAGTAGGGCAGAGGATAATTAGCAGCAACTCCAGAAAAGATTAAGCATACAACGCAGAACAATATTGTGTCCTCCTCAGAAGCTACACTGATGTAACAAGATGCCTTTCAGAAACTGAGAGCCAAACCCTCTTCCAATCAACTCAGTCACACACACCCAGGCCACAGAGGACTGACAAACAGTACGACTCTACAGAACGTCTGAGTTAATGTGACGGCAAACCATGACAGCTGTATTGAGAAGAGCAGCATTCCCCTATTCCCCAAATCCTTAACTATAAATTCCTGCAGCTCTCTTGCACTGACACTGCTGATTTTGTTACGAAACAACAGCAAATACTCATTTCTGTTGAATCTCCATCAGTCAGTCCTCAACTGTCTGCACTGACACTAAGTGGCAGGACTCACGGGATGAAGGCACTTGGATAGGTAAGGCATACACGCTTTTCATTCATGGCTTACTGGACAGATCCATTCTGCAGCACCCAAACAACACTTCCTGAAAGTACAGACAACTATAAATGAATCAATCACAGTTTACTGATAAACCTAACATGCAAGTGGATGGGTCTTCCACTGGTGTAAGTAGCTTAGCATTCTGCCACTCTAGGTCAGGACACCGAGTTGGCACTTGCATTAACATCCTTGAATTCTATTTATTTTTATGTTAAGAAAGAGATTTAAGAGGTAGGCCATAACTATGAATGCCTGGCCAGAAAGAACACAAATTCTGCCAATGGAGACAGAAGCTGGCAGTAAGCACTGTCTTCTGAAGTAGCTCTAGCTCTTCACTCTCTTCCACATCTTCCTGCAGCAGCACACATGCTCCGTGGTTCAGAGCTGCAAGCAAGCACACAAAAACTTTCAGCTGCTTTTGAGAATCTGCTATCTCATCTCTTTCCCATGACTGGATTAGAACAGAAAAGTTCAAAGACCTTTGAAGACCATTTAGCCCAACTGCAGGACTACAGCATCCTGAACTCTAGACTAAGGGCATGGGCTGAGTACTCTGAAGATAACTGGTCTAACTATTAAAGAAGGCATTGAGAACTTCAGCCTTAGTGGTAATGTCCCTTGTCACAGCCGACAAATGATGGAGATTCTCCTTGGTCCTCTTCCTGTTGTTAATGTACCTGTAAAAACATTTTCAATTATCTTTAACAGTGATAGCCAGATAAGTCTTTGTTGAACTTCTGGAACAGGTTGCCCAAGGAGGTTGTGGATGCCCCATCCCTGGAGGCATTCAAGGCCAGGCTGGACATGGCTCTGGGCAGCCTGGTCCGGTGGTTGGTGACCCTGCACATAACAGGGGGTTGAAATTATATGATCTTCAAGGTCCTTTTCAACCCAGGCCATTCTATGATTCTATAATTCATTCTATGACTGTTTTTCTAATATCCCTTCTGCATACCCTAGCAACATCTTTGTACTCTTCCTGAGTTGGCTAGCCTTCCTTCCAAATATGGTAAACACTCTTTTTTCCACTAGAGTCTCAGCTCTAAGGACCCTGTTAAGAGCCCTCAGGCTTCTCCACATGACTTCACTTCTGCCAACTACCAGAAATGGGTAATAACCAGAGGGCCATGCCAGACCAGGGAGCTTCCTAGCAATGTCCCTGACCCAGGCCCCAGGGAGACAGCAGACTTTCCCTGTGGGTCTAGTTAGCTTATTTGGTGCTCAGTTCCCTTCAGAGGGAGCCGTGTATGACAACCACCCTTCTTTTGTTCCAGGCACTGGCAGTCTTGACTGGCTGACAAGCCCCAGACAACTCTCTGGATGGATCTTCTTCAACATCCTCACTGAGCTGTCCTTCACATTGCACAGCCTCAGACCTACTGTGTAAGAGCACCTGGGAAGGCAAGCCAGGCAGGGAGAGGGCTTCCCTGCCACCCCAAGCAGAGACCCGTTTCCACTCCTCCCTATCTCTTAAGTCCCCTCCTCCTGTCCGATGACAAGAGAGTAGGAAATCCACCACTACTTGCAGAGCATCCCCCAGTGCTTTTCTTGCAGGGATAGCAGGAAGCAGCTCCACTCATTATCTCTGTCTCACTCCACCATGCTCCCTAATCCTTCAACCTCCTCCTTTAGCTGTGCCACAGACAGAGATGATCATCCACGTCCTCACACCGCACACACAGTATGCCTCTTTCTGAACAGAAGTTTCAGGAGACACCTCCCAGCATTTTTATCACAGTACAGTTCCACCAGTGTCCTTTTATGACTACAGTCAATACTATCACTTCACATACTTCATTCACATCACAGCTGAAATCCTCAAACAACAAAGGACAGATAGTCCAACTATTTAGAAGCAAGATAACCTAATATTCTGTATTCCACTGACACAAAAACCAGTGCAATAGTTGACAAAGAATTCCAACCTTCACATAAAACAATCTTTCCAAGCCAAAGTAGCTATTACACAACTCTAACTCAAGAAGAGCTTTGACAACATTCAGTCTCAGATTCTCTCCATGTTTCCAATGCATACCTTGACAGTTTTGTTTAGTTTGTTTTTCCCTCAATACAAAATACCCCAATGAGAACAAGCAACATACAACTCATTTGGTATCTGTTGGTAACACTGTTTACAAGCAATCTTGAAAGGTAACTTTTACATGCAAAACAAATAATGCAGGCTTCTGATGTCATTCCATGTGAACTGATTCTCTGTTCAACACCATTTAATAAAGTTAAACAGTAAATAATAAACAGTTCTGCCTTGAAGACAGTAGGCTGCCACCACCCATCAAAAAAGTCTCTTGCAGAATCCTACACATTATGAGATAAACACACAATGGTACAATGTGTTTTAACAAGCTAAAAATTCTACTTTGTCATCACCTAAGAGGAAAAAAAACCTTATTATGAGGAAACTTGTGTAACAGCAAGCATCTATTCATAACCTTTACAGCTTTAACCAAACATTCAGAAAGTTAAAAGCAAGGTGAATTCTACTTAAAGTGAAAGCTGAAACAACTGATATGATGCATATAACGTATAATATAAAGAATTCCTCTGACAACTGAATCAAGGCAAACACCACAATACATGAAAACAGACAAATCTTTAGTGATAAGAAAATGAAATAGCATGCAAACACTTCAGATTTTCGTGGGAAAAAAAAAAAATGTTCAGCAAGTCCCCTCAAGTAGAAGAGCAGACAAAAAGTATGTTTAAAGCAAGCAGGATTTGACAAATCAGAAAGAGTGAACATCAGGAAAATCTCCCCAAAGATAAACCTGCTAAAAGAGGAGGATGGGAAAGAAAAATAAAAGATAAAGATTCCCAGAACTGTCAGAAAGAAAGGATGACCACTGACCTGAGAAGTGACTACATGAACATCAGCATCATCACCATTGCATTCCTTCCTCTCGCACACTTACTGTTCTTTACACGACCCAAATACCCCACATCTACTCCAATTAACACAGGTATATGAGACTTCCGAAGGTGCAAGGGGTCAAGTTCCATCTCTGAAGCAGTAAATCGCTTGCTGTCACAGAACGGGATTGACCGTGTAGTCCTGCACTTGTCCCTCTGGTACCATGAACTAAAACCAATCATATGGGAGCAGACAAAATTTTCAGTTGGATTAACAAACCAAATAGGCTCACATGAGCTCTGAGAAATGCCACAGCTTGGCACAAGGACACACAGCTGGAAGCAAGAACAAGCACATCCTCTTTCAGCAGCAAGAGGTACTAGGCAAGCTCTGACAGCTTATACAACCACACTTCAAATGGTGCAAAACATACAGTGCTTGTCCCAAATCAGATGGGCTTCAGGATGATCATCCTCACCTCCCCTACAGTAACAAAGCAGGTAGCCAACGCAGAAAGCAAGCTGCAGCAATTGAGAACTCAAAACACGTTCTTCAAGGTGTAAGATAAACACACAACCTTATATATACAGGTGGTGAGAGAAGCAGGACACAAACACTTATCCTAGATGCACCTGGGGGCAGGGGGGAAATAAGCTAAGTGTTTCAGTCTAAAAAATAAAATGGCAAAAACTGAAAGTATGGATAAGTCAAAGAACAATGAAGCCAAACAAAAACAAACCTTTCCTTCAATGATAGTATAGGCATTCTCAAAGGATAGAAATAGAATCTAGCAACCGCAAACAGTGGAACCATTTCATCACAACAATATCAATATGAAAGGCCCTGCACTGTGATACTCACCAAGGATCTTTCCTCTGAACAGCATATGCTTACCAAAGCTGCAGGTAACACAAAGCTCAAAGCCTGCTACAGGAAAGGTTCAAAACAACATCTCCGAAAGGGCTCTAAATGCACAGGATGCAATTCAAGTTGCATGAAAGCAAAAACTATACTCAGCTGTATCTACACATAATTGATTGCACATAAAAATGAAAAGAGAATTGACTCTGCAAGAGCTGCTGCTACAACAGATCATAAATTGCTCTGAAAGGCAGGAGTAAGCAACCAAGAGCAATCATTTGTGAGCCACCTGAAGCAATCCTCTCATACTCCTTTACAATAGCACCATACCAGACACTGGTCTTCTTTTTAAATTCAACATCAACAAAAAGGATTGACTGAAGAGAGCGTAAAGAGGGCTCAGCAAGCGTGTATCAGTTCAGGATATAAGGTGTCAAACTTGGAAAACACTAAAAGAGAGGCATGTGGTGCTTGTCTTGTCCGCTACTGATAAGAATAAAAGCAATAGAGAGAGGATTAAGGTAAGAGGACAAACAAGAAAAGATTGTTCACCAGATTCCCTTGGGAAGTGTGGAATCACCTGGAGATCTCAGCAAGCACATCAGATAAGGACATGTCAGATAAGGCTTCAAACACAGTCAAGCCTTGCCTTGAAGCACAGAAACTGTTTTGTATTGCTCAGGGTTTCTTCTACCCGCACAAATGATGCTTTTTCTCCAACCAGGCTGAAGAGCGGAGGAAAAAAAATAAAAAAATCCACCCAGTAAGCACTGCTACAACTGAACATGAAGCCTGAGCTCTGAGATTCTAGCAGGATACAAAGTCTGCACCTGCCCAGCACAAGGACACAGACACTGCTTCAAAATGTTAAGCAATGTGCCTTGACAGCACTAACAAGCTGATCTCAAGTGACATGAGCTCCAAGCAGGTGGCAAAAGCCAATCGTTCAGGAGCATTCTTAATAATGCTCCTAAGAACTTGACAAGATTCAAAGCTATCAGGTAAATGATGCAGCTATCAGTCTACAGGGATGAAGGAATCCAGGGATGGACACCCAAGCTAATTCCATTTTGTCTAGTTATAGTCATCAAGCCTCAATCAAGAAATGATTCACAAAAGAACTGTTATATTAACAACAAAAAAAATTTACTTAGCAGTGCCTAAGTACAGACCTGAGATGGGTGACGTACAACTCTCCAGTTTCTTTCTCTCCAAAATTTAACAGCTCACTCTGATGAGACCGAACCAATCCCAACTCAAACCTACTGCAGCTGTCTCACAAGCTGCACCCCATTTCTCATCTCCCAACAGGAGAAAATACATCACTTCTATCCGACACGGGGGAAAAAGGAATTGATAAAATGTGGTTGAAGCTCACTGAGTGGTACTGAAAGAATCCAGCAGAGGAAGAAAAAATTAAAGTCACCTCTGATACAACACTCCAATACTTCTGCTCCAGGCTTAACTCATTCCTCCTTCTCTGGACCATTCTTTTCATACCACTTTGGTGGTACGAAATATATTTGCTAAATAAATGTCAGGTTTGTCAGAATGGTTACACACATCACAAAGAGGTCTCAAAAACAACCAAAGAACTTCACCTACTGATGTTGGCCTCATTTCAGTGTTTCAGTTTAAACAGTGCAACAACTGAGTTTAATACTAAACACTTTTAATACTAAAGAAGGTTGAGACAGATATTCAAAGCAAACCAGACACACTGAGCTCCTACCTGGGCATCAGAAACGCACTCACCTTTGCACATGCAGCTCAGAGCACCGCATAACACACGAGTACAGAGCTTTTGCAATACAGGAAGAGAAACTACATTTAAAATTTCAAGGCAATACAGAACAACAACCTCTTCAAGTTCAACAAAAAATTCAGCACAAAGGGAAAATAGTGTCGAACTGCACCCAAAAAGTAACAGGTTACGTAATCATTTAGTACTTTTTTAAAAATTAAGACACAGAAAACTGAAAAGAAAAAAAGAGGTGGACACTAACAAGTGAGATTCATGCAACAGAAGTACAGCTAGAGGTCAAAAACCACAACTCACAGCCCTCAGATCTGAAAAGGCCCTCTGGCACCTGTGGAAGGTGAGCCCTGTGGCACAGTACCACTATGACTGCTATGCCCTCAAACTCCTTCCCAAAAACCTTTGATACTGGCTCCAGTCAGAAAAGAAACACTGAGCGAAGGAAACCTAAGCTGCAGCAAGTCACCTGGTAACATGGAGAACGTATGCAGACAGAAGAAGATTTTAAAATAACAGCAGTAAGGAAAAATAGAATCAATAGCTAGGCAACCAAGGTATTGACCACTGTATTCCAGATACGAGAAATGCTGTGTAAAAGACCACATGAAGAAGTCTGGCGTAGACGTATACACATCACTTATACACACAGCACCTCTTATGCGAGCAAAACTGTAATAGGAGCCCAGCAGTCTGCCACGCAACCAAATCCTGACAAGTGATAAAAAGCTACAAAAGCTTGCTGAAAAATAGAGAAAACAAAAGGAAGACAGTAGAACTAAGCCTGTAGACAAGTGAAATGTAGATTTGATGACTACAAAGTCAATGAATGATTTAAATGCTGCAATGTAAAGTTCAGCTTCTTTCATCTACTATGTTTTCTGTTCTTCCTTCATTTACAGTAGAGGAGGGAAACGATCTCAAAAGCAGCGACCACAGAACTGATTCAGCTGTGGATATTGGATATTACTGTTGTAACATCAAATTAACCAGTAACAGTTCCATTGCAATTCACAGAAATCAAGTCCAGGCATTTCTTAAGTATGTCTTTAAGATGGATAACAGCACACAGTTATGTTTCCATTAATGCTGCCCAAGAGAATACATACACAGATCCAGCTTCCTCATGTGAAATGGCATCAGACAGAACAGCTCTGGGGAGCTCCCATAAGGTATCGTGTACACAGAATCATTGCTTTGTTGGTGAAACTCACAACATTTTAGTGGATTTACAGAACATTCACATTGTGTGGCAGTGGATGGGTTTTTTGTTTGTTTCTTTTCTTTAAACCAGGGCTGCAAGCATTCCCTTGCAGCAACAACTCAGTTCTATACATACTTGCAGGTGACCTGCATGACTTTTTTCAGCAGTGCTCCATACAAATATTTATGTGGTAGAAACAAAAGCGTATCTTTTTAAATCAAACAGTGTGACTCACATTTGAACTCCTCATAACAGTCTAAATAAGGCTAACATAGTTAATAGGTGTCCCAAATAACATTTAATATTCACAAATAGGCATCTATTTCTAAGCAACTTAAACAGTTAACTGTGAACTAAATTCAATACAGACAGAAAAATTGGACTAAGTGTCCTCATAATAGTATCAGGTTACCTCTAACAGCTTTACACAATACTCTCATTACCAAGGTTGCAATCTAGGAAAGTACTTTTTTTCCTAAACTTACAGGACCTGAAATACATTACTGTTGCATACAGACTATTCATATCATTTACAGCAAGTTTATAAATAGCAAGGTGGTGTTTAACCTGTAGTGACTGCTATGAGACTATACAGTCACCTCTCCCTGAAAATGAAAACAGAAAGAAATTGATTCAGAAGATGCCTGCCATTTTGCCACACAGCTTAACTGCTTTCAAGGGAATACAACTAACTGAGGGCAAACGCAACCAGGAAGGATCAAATTAATAGCTCTATGAACCACTGTCAAGTTCTCCTTTATGAACAGATTTAGAAGTCTCAAACTACATATGAAGTTCCTTAACTGTTCCCTACAAAGGTTTTACGTGTAACGTTTTTCTGATGTATTAAAGTACTTCAGTTTTTATGAAGAAGCTCATATAGAAAAGCTACAGTTTAGATGCCCAGAGAGCTGCAGCTAAGTCATTTTAGCCCTCAGAAACTCAGTTAGGCTTCAGACAGTGACAAATCCAAAGAAACCTACAACCACGTGCATGCAAACATTCCCCCTCCCACACAAAATGCAACTTTTCCTCAGTTAATAAGCTCCTTAGCACTGCAGAACTAACAAAGAACAACCTTGCTTCCAGTCTTGTTTCATCCACTCAGCACAGCTAAATGGTGACTGTATTCTAAGAAAATCCATTTCACAGTTGTTTGAAACCATTACATGACTTTAGAAAGTAAAATATATAACCTCTTACCTGAGCATGAAAATTTGACATAGTCGTTGTCTCTATATCTTTCTTTCCCAAAATCTCCATTTTCACTGGTGAATTGGGAAAATTAAATGAAAAGTAGTCTAAAAAGTCAGGTAAATATGTAGCTGCCCCATGAACAATACCCATTACATAGTAAGCTGCACAGTTTTCATTTTCACTAAAAACCAGACCCACAAACTCTTCTGCAAATCTCTCCATCTCCACAGGAGATAAGTGGGAGAGTTCATTACTGTAGGCATGGATAACTGATGCACCTCCGTTAGGCTGGTGCTCAATATGAATCAGCTGTTTGAACTCCAATGTGTCCAACCTTTTGAGTTTATTTTGAACCCGTGGCTCCTTTAACGAGACAAATGGAAACTCACTGTTCTCTGGTATCTTGGACTCACAGTCCTTCTTGGGATCCATATTTTTCCCATTGAAATCCTTAAGATGATCATCTATGATGCCTTTGGCTTCCTGATCCTCAACATCAGAAACCAGTCCTGAGCAGATAGTCTGAATGGATTTGCTGTACATTTTTGGACGCTTCCTCTTCTCATTCTCTTTATGTTTCTTTTTCTTTTTCTTCTTAACCTTTTTTATCTGTAGCTCTTCTGCGTTCATTTTTGGTTTCTCCTTCCCAGCTGTCAAAAGAAAAAAAGACCTCGTAAGCACCTTCAGATAGAGAACACTTATCCAGAGATCAGGATTAAGTTATCAAAGCATTCAACAAGGCACACATCCCAAAATGTGTATCTTAATGAAAATGACTATTAGGGACAGGCGCAAGGATCAGGCTACAACTGTTGATTAACATAAAGGAGAACAGAAACAACTTACAGCAAAAAAAAAAAAAAAAGATTTCCAGGGCTACTCTCATAGCTGGTCACAGACCACAGCCACACTGTCTAAGTGCTCTTCATCAACTTCAAAACCAGAAAGTTCAGATCAATTACACAACAGCTGTCCATAAACGTTGCCAAACAAGAGATTTACAGTCAATGAATATCAACCATCAGCAAGCTGCTTACAAATGTTGCTATGACCTACCTTGTCAGATGGCTTTACATGGCATTCTTCCAGAAACAAAACAGAACGTTGTTGAAATACATGTGGAAACACCAAAAACCTGACCACACGCTTTTTGTTTTGTTTTGTTTTTAAAAAGAGACCTCATAACCTTACATAATATGCAAGCTAAATTGAAAATAAGATGTAAAGGCACATCTGTGCATGTAAGTAGTCATTAGTAGACACTGTGTTCAAGCAGTATTGAAGATAAATGCCTCCTCTGTAAGCGTTGTTCTTCCAGTGCTTGGGGGAGAGGTGCCAAGGGCTGGAATAAATGAGATAAGCCAAAGACTTCCAGACTTCAGGGCAGTCTAACAAAGCAGTTGATACAATCTCATATCATGATTTCATAGAATCAAATTACTAACCACGTCACACAATCAGCAACTCCAAATAAGCATGTTCAGACACAGAAGTTTACAGAAATCTTGCAATGAAATGCACAATTTCTAAGTAACCTCAAATTTACAAATGTTTGGTAGCATACTAATTTTCAAGGCAGCCTCTACTGCTGTGTTTCAGCAGACTAATTTAATTTTGCAATCCTCAGTTCAAGTAATTCACAAAGCAGTCCTTACAAAAGTAAAAAAGATCACAACTTCTGGTGAATAGAATCACACATTCTTGCTGGTAATTAAAAGGTTTGGAACTGGAATTTATGCAGATATTGGAAAGAAGCAGCAGCAATTAAGCCACTTGCCTCTGAGTTTCTTGAGGTTTGCAACAGCAGTTACAAATGCCTCCGGGACTTCTGAAGCGCAGGCAGCAAGCTCGTTATCTCCCTATCTTCTATTTTCTCATCTTGTAGTGGGAAGAAGTGCCCTGAGGTCACTTACTGCTTACTTAGCCTAAACAAGGAAGTGGGCTCCGGGATTTCTTAACTTAATCCACACAGTTAAGAGCTACAAAGACTCCCATCTAAATCTGATTTAATGTAGCAAACTACGAGCACAATCTCATTTTTAGCTAACCACATTCAATTGTCAGAAGGCACAGGATCCTCATGAAAATCTGTCCTTCCATTAGGCTAAACTTAATGTAAAAACAGCACAGACCTTTGTAATAGTACTGCTTCATCTGGTAGATACAAGTCACTATTTCTTCGTTAACATTTTCTGCCACAGCACTTCTAAAATCTTTTAGCATGGGAAGACCAGGAAGGAAAGATACACGTGCAAGCAGCTACCTAATCCTTACAGGAGTAAGTAATAACTCATCAAGGATGCCAAGGTACCTGAGGGAAACATCATCACCTGACAAAAATCAACTGCCACCCACATTATGGTACTGGACTGGTGTCATTATGGCACTAGTTTCATGTGAGGAAAATAAAAATAACTTGGTGGCTTATGACAAAAGGACAGTTCCATATTACAGACCATAAAATCTCAACCCAAACATCAGAACACAGAGTACAGAATTAGGCATTCTCCCTCCTGACTGTCAACACACCAGAAGAGAGTATCCAAAAAACTGCAGTATCCAAAAAATTGCACCACTCTAAACCTGAACATTCATTGCTATACTGAAGGATACTTCAAGTCCAACACTTCCAAACAGTATGGCCATCTGCATATATAACATATGGAATTTGAGTGCTGAATGCAGTAGCAAGGTAGAGCTAGAGATAGCTCTAGAGATAGAAGGGGTTACCTGCCAACCTGTTTCTCTTGCTTTCAGACAGAGCCCACATCTTTCCAGGGACCAGCAACTCAGGTCCAGAACTTGATGTAGGCCAGGAAAGGGATGGGAGTTATGCTCATCAGGGTTACAATCACTGGCAACCAAACACAACATAACCTGAAGTTAAAGCAAGAAGCCACTTGCTATGTGTTCTCTTATATTTTAATACATCTCCAGTCATTAAACGAACCCCTCAGACCAAAGATGAGTACTTATATGTCCTAGCTGAACATCAGCAATTAGATGACTTTAAATTACTACTAATTGCAACATATGCTATTTGTACAACTTGTGAACCTGTATTTGCACAAAATTATCTCAAAAATTGCCAACTTCAATTTCTACAGCATACAGACAGAAGAAAGACTACCCAATTTTCACTCTGTCCCATTCTCTGTCTTTGGCTGCATCTCCTGAGAAGCCTTTTCAAGTAGCAACCAATTTAATTCAATGCCTTCTGCATAGTGCCATGGTTGACTTTTTTTCTTTTTGAACACATCACCAAATACATTTCAGAGGCAGCTCAATGAATGAGTGACAAAATAGAAACTTTTCAGGTTACAAGAAGCACTTAATTAGGTAAGTAAGGTCTTAACAGCAGTGGTGCTTTTAAAACACACTAAAAGCAAACACTGATTTCACAATACACAATTAGATAGCTTGAATGTAATCCAGTACATTAATAAACTACCAAACTTAAGAACTTGGTCTGAATGTATCCAAAAAGGTCTGCAGTCAACCCAGATGTAAAAAATAAGTTTAGTTAACTTGGTTTACACCTACTTAAGTACTCTAAACCTTCTTAAGAGGGATTAAGGCATTTTTGACACAAAGAACATCTATCATTTCCTGGGTTTGTTTTCATAACATCTCCATGAAGCTTTCAGAAGGAAAGAAAACAGCTAACCACAGAACTTTTCTTTTAAACCTGGTAACCAACACAACTGCCCTTCCAGCGTCAGGGAGATTTTCTGTTCACTTGGAGTACAAGCACAGTATAGACTGGGTTGTGGGGTTTTGTTTTGGTTTTTATTTTTTTTTTTTGGAATCGGGGGGGGGGAAAAGGGAGTTATTTGGCTAGGGCTTGGGGTTTGTTTGTTTTTTTTTTTTGCAAGTTTTTTAGTTGGTTGTTTGTTGGCGTTGTTCATTTGTTTTACTTTTGCTCACAGATTGCAAGAGTTTTTCTTATAAATATCAAGTACTGAAAGCTCATCTGTACATGCTTACCCAGGTACCATGATTGTACAAAAATACCAAGCCAAATAAATACTTGCTGGCAACCCCTCATCTCCAAACACCTCTCTCCCACAGATCTTTTACTGAAACCATTTTCAACTCCAAGATAACTGAAAACCAAGAGAGCAACAGCCACAGAAAGATCAAACAGCTGTAATAAAAGCCCACCAGAACAACTATGATGGGAAGTAACAGAGCTGCCTGAACTGCTGCTTGAGCTATGGAGAGAGAGAAATGAAAATGGCCATCTCCACCCTCGGGAGACAATGTATGAACGCTCTCTTCAAGATTAACAATGCCAATGGACAGGAAAAAGACCTTGAGACACAAAAGTCACAAGAAAGGACTTCAGGTAGGACTCTAAATAATAGCAGAATGAAACACAACTGAAAAAATTACATACCAACATCTCTAAAGGCACTTCAAGCAGAAAATGAAAGACAGCCTTACTTGAAAAGCTGGTTTGTCATTTTGAGCCTCCCTCAAATTCACACAGGCTTAAGCTACTGCCTACACAAGACTGCAATTCTGCTAAGAGCTCTATTTTCATACTGGCAGCAGCGATGTACTCAGGAAACATTATTTTTAGAGTATGCACCAGTCTGATACTCCGGATGTCATATTTCTCAGAGAAAGATTTTTGTATTATAAACACAATACTGGCAGATGAGAAAAATGTCAGATTCTCAGTTATTTGTTCAGCCTTCAAATATGGATGCATGACACAGCTGAGCATGGCTCATGGCCATGGATAAGCGGAGCCCAATTCCCACTCATCTCTCTCCCACAGCTCCTGGCACACAATTCCACAGCACCTCCTCCTTGTACTGACTGATGCTCATCTGATTGCAAAACAAACTGACTTAACGGTTCAGCAGAAAACTATTTGCTTGTCTGCTGCTACATCAGTGAACAGAACTGCTTCCTGGCATTGCCTGACAGGAGCTAAAGCACCGAAAAAAAAGTGACAGCGTGCAGAGGAAAGGAGCAGCAGAACCAGCTCCTGCTAGTAGCAGTCTGATCTGCTGAGGTAGGCTGCCCACCCCCCACCCTGCCTTCACCTGCCCACTCCAGGCCCCAAAAGAGGCTGACTTCTTAAGTGGAAGAAACCCTGTACACACAATACTGCCTTAACACACACACACAAAGAACAAGTTCCCAGCAAACCTCACTGCAAAGACTCAGATTTTTAAGTCTTCCTTTTTTTTTTCGTTGCACATTAAAGTGTAATATCTTGGTTGAAAATTCCTTCAGCTACTACAGCACACACATCCACTGAACTGTGCATATCCTTCAAACTGCCTTGACATCCACTTAGACCCAACTTTAGAGTACTTGCATTCAATTATTATAGCACACAGCTGACATTTTCCTGAGGAGTACAAACACCAAATGGAAAGCAATGACTTCTAGTAGTAGTATTCTTCAGCAAAACCTGAACAGAACTCCAAAGAAGAATGTGGCATTCTTTTAGCCTCAGGCTTCTGCTCTGCTGAACTTAAACACACACTCTGAAGTAGGTGTTTATAGCTGCTCAGGAGTTGCCAAGACTTGAACAATGAGAGGAATCCACATAGATACCACAATTCCTATCAGCAATGCCCAATACAGTGCTTCCATCTTCTTCTTCTGTATTATCTGTAGAGAGGAGCAG